AAAGCATCTTTTGATATAATAAAGTAAATAAACCAGTTCATGTCTATTCAAGATCCGAGCCGAAAATAGAACAGACGGCCAATCCTGTTTGTTCAGGCCTTCTGCCACATTTTGCTGCTCCGTTTTGATACAGGCCTTTATTGTCACTCGCATTTGCTGTGCAATAGATGTCATGCAGGAAATCCCTTATGGCAAGTGCCAGCTTGCTACAAGTAGGCGGACACACTGCGAGACAGAGCTGATGCTAAAAATTTTACCATCTCATCTGATGCATGTTCCATGGACAGGAAAATGCGCACAACGCCCCCCTTTTATTCCCCTTTATCTTCTTGTGACGCACATAGCCCGGTAGAGGCAGAGGCTGCACGACACGCCGTCTCGCTCAGAGATGGAGCTTTGAGATCATGCGCGTATGCATAGAATTGTGTGGCAAACTATTTTTGAAAACTGCCTCATCTGTGAAAACAGGCAGGCACAGGCATCGGGGTGCATCCATCCGCTTATCCGCCTCACGGACAAAGCATAAATGCAACTATGAGAACTGAGAGGCAATCGACAAAAAAGAAACCAAAAAAACAACTACCCTGGCTCCAAACCTCAAATGCAGAAGGATGTTCTGCAAAAAAAACCCAAAACATTGGTCTGTTGGTCTATGTAGAGTGCATCAATTTAGGCTTGTGGTAATGCAGAACCGCAGAGTAGCTGCTAAGATTATGCAGGACAAATTAAAACCAAGACTCCTTGCACCGTACAAAACACATTCTGTTCATTATGACAGAGACCTAAAACTAACAGCTAGACAGCCTCACTTTTAGGATGATTTTAATTTTTTATTTTTTTGTCAAACAAATGAACTGACATTTAACCGAATGACAAAATGAATTTTTAACATAAAAAAACAAAAAACAACTGTTTATTTATATATAACAAATCCTGCTTTAATTTGGGGGTTAATTCAAAACAAACAGCTTATAACTCTACTGGAGGAAACTATCATTTAGACAGCCTGTCACCAGGAGCGCCATCTCTGAGCTTGCATAACAGAAGGCCGGACGACAGAGGAGCTTGGCTGCTACATCAAGTCGAGGCCTTGAACCAGACGTTGAGCAATCTGTTTATTCCTCGCTGAAACTCGTACTGGTGTCGACAGACAAATAGCAGTATTTCCTGCCCTTTTTCCCTTAAAAGAAACCATCTAAAGCTCAAACCACAAACAATAACTTTTTTTCTGACTTCAAAGATTTTGAACACAATGGTATGAATGCAGAAAAATAAAATGATTCCAAACAGTGAATAGGATAACAATAATTTGGAAAAGATGTCTGAATTTATTGCTGAGGTTAAAAAAAAAATAAATAGGGAAAAAAAAACAATGCTTTCAGTTGTTTTTTGAGGGGATGGGGATTGGTCTACATTCGATACTATTTTGTCCAGTGAGAGGTTCAGACTTGCAGAAGGAAAGTATGTCAACTTAGGGAAAGGGAAAAATGCTGCTTTCAAAATATCTTCCATTCATAAAAAATGTTGGACTGACGCAGGGGTAGAGCCTCAGTCCTTGACGCAGCCCTCCCAGATGACACTATCTTTGTATATTGTCTTTTTCAAGCTGGGGTATGAAAGAAACTTTTTTTCATTTAAAAAATGAAAGCACCGTTAATCAAAAATAAAGATATCCATCTGTCTGTCTTAACTTAGCTCATCAAGCAGCATCTTTTCACAATAGTCAGACAAGTTTAAAGAAACAGTAAGAAATAGACTAACAAGTCAGTGCAGCTTTTAAGGCCAATATATGAGGAATTAAAGTTTGAGTTTGAGCAGGATATTAATCAGCCCTCCTCCTCATTACATTTCACTGCAATGGTGTTGACTGCCATGACCTCTGTGACCCTTTGAATGTGAGTTTAACACAACATAATATGGAAAACCCATTCTGTGTGCCAGGAAACATTACATTCCCAGTATCCACCAAATCAGCTTTTCATGCAGTTTCCTGCAGCCATGAGCTAAAACACCTGCACTAGGATGCTTCTTTGCTTTCAGCCTTGCTGTCGATGACAAAACGGAATGAGCAGCATGAGATAATGCAGGTCTTCTGGAGCATTTTTCTGTCCAGAGCACAGTGCTCTGCTGACTGTGCCATCTTGCAGCATAACCCAATCCAAGGTCAAATTCTGCGAGGAAACCGTAAGCCGGGCATACACAGTATGATTTTCTTGCCCTTTTCGGGACAATTCTCCAGTCGTGTTAGAATTATTTTGATTGTACGTCCTGTGTTGTGAGGTATACAGGGGGTAACAAGGGCAGATTAGCGTCTCACAACCACCTCCCGATCAGGAATCGTAATGTTAGGGAAAATCGAACATGTTTGAAATTCAGTCGGCCGTCGTGAAATGTTCGTTGACAAATCCTGGCGTTGAAGCAGAGTTACGAGCCAATTTACCAGAACCTCCAGCACTGCGTATGTGCAAACAAGGTAGCTCTTCTTCTTCTTCCAGATTGAGGAGTCCGACGTGTGGTTTTTGGTTGTGCAGTATGAGCAGGTAGATTGCATCAGAGTCGCACAGTGTGAGAACATGCATCGTGAGCTGTGAACTTTTAAACCCTGCTGTTTCATCGTACAGTTTGAGTTGTAGCTGCGTGCAACGATTAAAAAAATTGCACAGTGTATGCCCGGCTTAAGTGAGCTCAATCTCATGGCATTGGCAACAGTGTGGGTTTTCACTAGGCCTTGAAATTAAGGCTTGCATTTGAGTTGCCAATCACTTCTTGTAAAATATTATTTTTATTCTTAAGAGCATGTTGTTCATGCTTCTTTGTCCTCATTCCTGCTTAATGCTAATAAAAGTAACAGGGCCGTATCTTCATCTGCCTGGCAGGTATAACTTGCCTTTAAACTGCAGTAAGAAAACCTAGAACTTCCCTTAGTCCCTGAGCAACAATCACAGTTAAGCTTGGGTACAATTTGGAGGTGTGGGTGCTTCTCTAAAGCTGGAAGATCTACTCCAGTAGGAAGTGCATACTATTTTTTTATGTGAAAGTGACATTATTGTGACACTTTATTCATGGGTATATGTGGTTAATGGATTGTTTATAGCAACTTTTTACGTATACCCTTTTGCTTCCAGCAATAGGAGTAAGGAGAGGCCATCCGGAATGCAGAGCAACACACTAACCTACAATGTTGGTTAGTTGGTTAGCAGGCGTGGTCCTCCTGTAAACTCTGTGAGGTACAGCTCACACTATCGGGCCCTTTTGAATGGATACACTGGCACTGCTGTTGGTTATGCTTCATTCAAGACCCCAGCATATGTTAATACTACGATAATAAACATACAACCATGGTATCCTTATGGGACTTCTATGTACACTTAAAACAGACAGGGAACTCTAACACACTTTATCACTCTTGAGGGGAACCCACTACACTCCTAATTTGCACCAGAAGACCTCTTCAAGAGCTTGCAAAGACCATCCAGGCACTGGCTCATTTAAAGCACTCTATCAGGTGTGAAACGGATCACATACATCTAAACCTTTTTTGTTTTTTCTTATCCAATTTGAGACTGCAGAACAGAAATAAAACAGAATTGTTTTCTATTTACTTCAGTTCAAGCTGTTTTCCAAATTTAAGTACGTAAAACCCTAACCCCACCTCTTCAAAACTAAGCTTATTAAAGTGATAGAGCCAAAAAAGAGACTGACCCCTGGTTTAGAAGACTGTCATGTGGTAAACACTATTTATAGCTGCATCCAATCCTCATTAATGCCACAATCATAGAAGTACTTATTTGTCTAAAGTCTACCGGTAATTTCTCACCGCTTTGCATTACAGCTAGATCTCATGTAGTTTTAAAGTGTCCATCTTTTCACCTGCAGATTGACTAAGGTCTACTAAATAATGACCTTGCTAAACTGCTTGTTAGAGGTCTCTGTTCGGACACCGAATTTTACTTTTATCCAGCCGACTGATGAGCATTTTAGGTTATGTGAGATCAAGGCAGTTGACTAAAGAAATGAAAGCCAGCATGTTGGGATTGCGCCCTTTCATCCTGAACCCTCTAAACCAGGTAACATCCTCGTCTAAACAAGACTGAAAGTATCCAGTAATGAGAACACGTCTGACACAAACAATCACCTGCTGTGAGCTGAATATGGAAAGAAATACAACTTCAGACGGTATCTGAGCTTGATTCTTTTGACAACAGCCAAACTGTGAACACACCTGAAATGTCAGTAAGTGTCTGTCTGGGTAGAGAAAGCTGCAGGGAAACGCTGCAGCAGGTCAGAGTATGTCTTTCTTTTCAACCTTGTTTTCACGGTTATTTCTGCTTTAAGATTTTTGAAGAGTTAAATTTTATCATGGATGAAACGTATGACGGTGTCATCTGGAGTGTGTGAGGTGTTAAGGAGAGTGTCTTGAATGTGCCAGTTGGGGAGGGCCTCTGTGTTTTTTGGTGAGTGGCGTTATGGTCAAGGGAGGAGCTGGATAGAGCAGCCAGAAGGACTCAACAATCGAGGCAGCAGTTGGTGTGTGAGACGAGGGGGTGGGGGGGGCACATTGTTAGCCGCAACAGCCACTGAACTCTGCGCAACCCCCGGCCAAGGGTGCGTGGTGAAGCCAGCCAGATGGGGCAGAGAGCAGGGAGGAGGTAAGGGGAAGTTGATGTGGCTCATGGAGTGGATGCAATGATTGAGGAAGCATGACTCGTTGGGGTGACGCCGAAAACACGTCCATCTCATCTTCAAAATGTTTGATTTCCTCAACTTTCACAGTCCTCAGCATAATCAGCCATGCCCTCACTTCATGTACCATCACACATGACCGCGTATTTAGAAGTGAACTCACCGAGCTCCGCTAGCTCCCATGAAAATCCTCATATTTGATCTCACCGCAACTCAATTTTGGGAGGCGTTTGGGACACTCTACAGGCGAAAGATGGATCCACTCCCATTAAAAGTGGCGCAACACTTGGGACCTATTTAAGGCACTTTCTTTCTAGAACATTTTCACACATCCAGTCTCCAGAAAGTGGTGTGAAGTCCCTGTGGGAGTCTGAATTTTAAAACAACAGAGATATGCCTCAGCAGAGATGCACCAATGAATTTATCCTTGGTCGACTATGATTGGTGAACTGGTAAGCTGTTTGTTTTTCTATGGATTTAATTATTCCTAACTAGCTCTCACTTAATTCTGAGAATATAAATGCTTTTACCAGCTTTGTGACCTCATCTGAACTTTGAAGGTTTCATTTAATTAAGATATTAGGAAAAGTTTAATTTGCCTTAATGTGTAAGTACTAAAGAAATCCTTCAATTCCTTCACTTTTTTATTGGATTTAAAACATTTACTTATATAAAAAGTCCTGAAACACATTTTGTTATTCTTTGTGTGTATTGAGTTGTAATCACCAAGAGCTGGAACTATTATGCCTGTTCTAAAAAAAAACTGGGAAAAAAATGTAATATACACATACATACTAAAAAAGTCAAAATGCTTTTTTTTTTTTTTTTCAAAACTTAGAACAAGTAACAGTAAGGGTTAAAAATGAAACTAAACTAAACCGACCTTTATGCTGCTTTTTTTAGTTTATTAAAAGTCAGATGAAGCTTAAGACCTGTATTTATGCAGAGACATTTTAGACGACAAGGTAATGAAAAGGGGGGGATCAATTTAGACATAAAACTGCAATTATCAACAAAAAAGGCTTTTTTTCATTAATTCAAAGGATTTCTATCTTTCTCAGTGATCCTAATGGAGATCAAACATGTTGTCTTTCATACTTTTACTTCCTTTTTATAGTGGAGCCCTCCTTGCCATCACCCTAATCTTTAGTCTGCTCCATCACGTTAATTGAAACTCCAAAACTAAGGGATTCATTTTAACATCAATCTGCAAAGTGGAGGAATAAAGTTGTGCTTCTCTGTATGCTTTGATGCATAAATGTGAATACTTTTGTAATTTACTCAACTCTATCAAGGAAGTAGTGACACATTTAATCTCTTTTATGTGACATATTTCTTAGGAGTAAAATCAGAATCAGCTCAAGAAGGGATAAGATGCTTGAACCTCACAGGAAATGGAAAAATTATATCATCGGGGGGGAAAAACTGATATACACCGTGGATTTTCAGACTTAGCAAAGCTTATGGTTGCAGTGATCGCCAGGAAATGCAGGAAAGTAAAGCAAAGCAAAGCGCTGCTGCAGCTTCCTGAACATTGCACATCATATTTAATAAGAAAAACTTTTAAAGCTGGTCAAAACTGCATCAAGGGCATTTTTTTAGCAGCTGTAAGACAGGTGTCTACATCGCTCTCAAATTAATAATCTTTCTAAAAGGGCTGTTTTGAAACTTCAAAAAAAGTTAGAAACAACTCTCCCTATTGGCTGACCTGTGACCCTCCACGCTCTGCAGCAGCATGCATCACATTTTCCATAGGTTGAGCACTGAGGCTTGACTTGGCATCCATGGAAACCTGGAATGTGGAGAAGCTGGCAGCAGATGCTGTGTTGTTTTGGAAAAGGAGGGTCTGGGCTGCAGCAGGGACATCAATGTGCCCTCTGCTGCTCCATGCAAGAGAAAACAAACCAGCGGAAAACACGAGGCTGGTCAAAATGGAGGACAGAACCGGACCCAGTCGGCTTAGCGGCTACGGTTATCTCTATTTCACATATAACTTCACATGGTGCTTCCAGACAGAGGTGGGAATCTGTTTTTTTAAAACCTGCCATCATATTTAATGCATCCTCTGGTGTTTACACCCCACAGACCCCCCACACAACCCCACCCACTTCTCCTCTCCCACCTTTGGTGAAACACAAACGCACGAGAGGATTTCGACAAATTAAAAGTTTCATCGCAGTCTGAAAAGGAGCCTTGAAAAAGAGCTGCGTGGTGCGTCAGCAGGGGAGTATGACGGAGACGAGGCCTGTTACTGGCATTACGCACGCACAAACCCACGGACGGAGCCAGCAGAGACGCACATACACGCTCCAACACACACACACACACTGCATAGACACGCACGAGTAAATTAAAAACCTTTTTCCTCTTCTTCATGCACAGAGCAGAGCCACCAGAACAGCAGCGGTGGAGTGAAGCAGAAAAAAAAGATAATAAAAAACAAAAAAAAAAAAAAAAAATATATATAAACAAACAACCAGGAAAACAAGCAATTTCAGCCTCTCCTCCTCTTATTCTCCATGTCTGTCTCTCAGGAAGGCGAGCATAGAGGAGAACCTACCTCGGAAAACCTCCTGCTGCATTTTTGCTGCGATGTGTTCTCTCCCTTACACTCTCTCTCCCTCTCTCTCCCCCCTTGGACTGTTAGTGCGCACGCCCGCTCACTGTGTGCGTGTTTGAGAGAGAGGGAGAGGCGGTGTGCACACACATACAGGCAGCAGTGTGTGATTCTCACACTCGAACTTGCTTGCTCTCCTTCACTCACTCCCATTTTTGCTTTTTTTTGGTCTTTTTTCTTCTCTCACACCAGTTCTCGACTCCTTAAAAAGAGGAGTTCTTACTGGTTTTGCTCTATTTTTCTAAAAAGAAAATATCAAGTGAATCCTCAACCCATATAAACACCCTCAACTGTCTCCCCACCTCCTCTGAATCCAATCTTTTTATTTGGAAGTGTTGTTCACTCTCTCCAAGACACACACACACACACACACACAGAGATACTTTATATACACAAAGCCCAGGGATAGGGAGAGGGAGGGAGAGGCAGACAGAGTGGGAGAGCAAGCAAGCAAGAGGACGCCATTTAAGCAGTTTGCTACGAGCACTGCAAGTCCCCAAAATGGCTGAAAACAAACAGGAACCACGCCAACTCTAAAAAACCTGGGCACCAAGGACGGACGGATGGAGGGACGGGAGGACGGAGAGGGGAGTGAGAGAGCAGTGAGCTGGAGGGACAGCGGGGAAGTGAGACAGTAGGAGAGCGCAAACTGGCCCGCAGTCACATGGTGGGAGAGAGAGCTGAAGCCAGTAAAGTTGAGGGGAAAATGGAGGTGATACAGGGCCGCCACTGCTGTCTAGCGCTGGGTTTCAATCAACTTTAGGGTACCTATTACCGTCACGTTACAATAGGAAGGTGGAAATCGATGTCGCAACGACATCCTGACTCTATACCCTGCTGGGATGGGGGTCAAACACCTTAAAAGGTAACTCAGGATAGTCAAAAACACAAACACTTTAGCTGTTTAGAATGCAATGAAGTCATGGGACAACCGTTGACAAGTCAGTCAGAAAATGGGAGGGGCTGACCGCCCTAAAGATGGTGTGAAACTGCAAGTAAGGATGTTTTAGATGAACACTTCTCACAGTCCCAGAACAGGGGTTGACGGTTTGAACGGCAGCAGATCTGTCGGAATCTGACAAAATGTTTATTTCGGGTAAATCTGGTGATCTTTGACTGACTGAGGACAATTCCTTTCTGCCACAGAAATCGACAGGTGTTCAGACAGACTACAGTTAAAAACAATCTCTGATTATTGCTGTCATTGGCGTTAAGGTTAAGTATCTGAACTTGTCTTAATGGGTTGGTCTTTGCGTTACAGTCTACATTTTTAGATATGCTTTAAAAAAAGGGGTTTGGTGTATTGTTGAACCCTGCTTTAAAGTGCTACTCATCGTTATCTCTATCTCTCTGCTGTGTCCCTTGGTCCGAATGACTTTCAAAGAACAGATGGGTTTATACTGAGATTAAACCGCACACCTGACTTACTAATTAAGGGGCACATGGTAGTTCTAGTTGTAGTTAGAGGTTTCAGAATAAAGGCAAATGAACACAAGCACACAACACCCAATTGAGGTTCTTATTTGTAGCAGGTTTTCCAACATTTGTATGATTTTTCTTCCACCTTACAGTGATATAGCATAATAAACGATAAGGACCATCATCTTTATTGGTCAGACCAGACCAGCAGTTGTTGTATCAGATTAAATTGTTGCTTTGCAATGATTGCCCTAACCTACTGGCAGGTTACAGTGAAAAAATTTTCAAATTACATTCAATCCATCAGAGGGAGAAACTAGCCCAGGTTGCAGAATTGGGGTCAAACAGGCTTCAGGCTCATGTCTTTCCTCAACACATGTGCTATTTTGCAGTCATGCATCCCAACAGAGAGCTGAACGTTATGTTTTCAAAGGCCTTAGAAGCCCGCTCCCACAACATATTTTACATCTCTATCAAAGCATTAGTAGCGGTATCTGGGGCAGCTGGTTTTGAAGTGTAAAATCAGTGGAATTCCCATTTCAAAGAGAGACAGGGGAAAAGTTGGACCTATGTGAACAGAAACTGAGGGCGCTCATTGACAGTCCATGCCCCCGGCTAAAAGGGTTCAAGTGTTGCCAGAGACAAAGCTGGCCAATTAAATGCTTTTAAAGTTACCTGGGGCCAGACTGGAACTACAGGGATACCATTAGTTTGGGGGTTTTTTTCAACGCTGCTACTCAAACACATCATCTGGGCTCTTAAAACCATTGATCGTCTCTAATTCGTATGTAGAGGGTACTGCCTTGAATCCAGTATGATCCCCTCAACCCCTGGAGGGTTACATTTTGTTTCTGCCCTGACAGGAGGAGGATGAAAAGTCCCGTTCCAGTGGAAGAAAGTCTGAGTCCTGTTTTGCTACATGACCATCATACTTCCCGCTGTCCCTCTGAGTGGTGACCGCCCGGTCTACACCGCCCCCCCCCTCCCTCTAGCTCCAACGCTCACACAAGCACACCAAGTGAACCTTGACGCCAGCAAACCAACCGCCCTCCCCTCCATGGCCTTTCCCTCTCTCCCTCTCTTTCATCACTCTATCTCAGCGTCTTTGTGCGCTGCCATACTTGTCTCCATGGGAACCGCTCCGGGACTGGGTGTTGTTCTTGTGACCTCTCTGGCTAACGGAGTTGGACAAACTTTTTTCCCCTCCTGCTACTTCCATCCTCTTTCGTGCACTCTTGCACGTCTTCAAAGTATGTCCAGCAGCGTGTGTTTGTGTGAGAACATGAAAACTGGATGTGAAGTTATAAAAAAAAAAAAAAAAGACAAAGGAAAGAGAGCCCTTCTGTATGAGACACAAACTGCCCGTTGGCAAAAAAAAACAATGTGTGTGTGCGAGCAAGGCAGTCACCCAGTGCACGCATGTGTTACGGCATTGTTCTGTGGCCACAGCCGGTCGCCAGCTTCGTACTGAGAGACACCCCCTGTCTTCCACATACGCCTATTCATGGCTGTTCGGCCGAACCTGATCCCAGCTTTTCATGCTGCGCCATAAAGCGAGCCATCTTGGTGTAGATTCTGAGCAAATTATCTCATCAACACTTCCTTGAACCAAAAAAAAAAAACGACTTTTAATGAGTGCTTGTTGATTTTAATTGACTTGAACAACTTCAAAAGAAGCACACAAGCATTACCAGTTGAATTATGCAGTTCTATTAGGCTTTGGGTGTTTTTTTTTTTGTTTTTTTTTGCCCAATGGTCTAACAGGTGGATGCTTATCCAAGCATCAAAGACATATATACTAGACGCGCAACCCAATATCAACTCTGCCTAACCCGCAATGGATAAGGTATCAACAATGGATGGATGTTTATTCGTATTAATACACCGAACAGCAGTAGCTGTATAGATTTTAAATACAAAAAAACCAAAAAACTACTAGAACGGGTCATTCATGGTAGGTTTATTTTTCTGTCTTACCTCACCTTTTACAACTTCTCATCAAGTGGAATTATTTTGATTACGATGGTTGGATAAATTATAGGTTGCAGGTTTAAATTTTTACCAGACGAAGCCTTTGCTTTTCATAGCAACATCTACAGTTGATTTCTGTGTTCACTGGAGGGGAAAAGCAGGGACAGATAGGGAGAGTTAAGTTTAGCTTTGAGACTGTTCATCTTACATCCCTGGTTGTCCCTTGCATTGATTGTAGGGTATTTTCAATGTTTATCAAAAAGACAAGTACAAATCAGGTTATTATGTAAAATCCAACATCATTCAGATGCCTTAAAGTTCTATTGGGATTCTTGAACTTTAAATAAACTTTGTGACAAACTTTTCTAGCCTGACAGAGTTAAGCTAAGGTTGGCGCTCAGCCCCAGTTTTTTAATTGTGATGTTTTGTTTGTTTGTTTTTTGTATAAAATCTACTGGAAGCCATCCCCCCAAATTTTTACATGAGTCGGTTTCCATGGAGACTGAACATCAACGGATTGACGGACATTACTGCTGACCGAAGAGCTATGATGATGTTTTTTTAAATCAAATGAAGCTTAAGCTTAAATAAAATCTGGAAAATTTATCAGCTTCACCTGAACCACCTGCAAAGTCCATCGTTCATCTCCAGCCCAGTAACTTCGGGGCCGCTTATTCAAGCATACCTTGATTCTCAGCATCAGTCTTCTGCCAGAGCCAGTGCCCGAAATAACTTATGTTGTTTATGTCTTTATCTGCTTCTGTCTCCTCAAACCCAATTGGCCTTGGTAGATGGCCGCTTACACTGGTTCTGCTAGAGGTTTCTTCCCGTTTAAAGGGAGTTTTCCTCTCCACTGTCGCTACAAGCATGCTCAGTGTGAAGGATTCAAGAGAGTCAACGAGTTCTCCCGAAAAGCTGATTTTTTTATCTTTATAAATACATCTAATATTTTCCTTTTTTCTTTTTCTTTTCAGCTTTTCTCTATGGGAGTCTCTCCAGGTTGAACTTCTTGTTGCGCTTTGGCATAGAAAAATGAGCAATGTGCTGTATCCCTCCGTCTAATAGTAATCTTATCTTCTTATATCTGAACAAATGTATTTATTTTGTTAACATTTCCTTGATTTTATAATTTTAAAATTAAAAGCTTGCTTTGTATCCTATCACATCTATTTCACTTTATTATGTTAGGGAAGGGTTATTGTAGGGTCATTATGTATTTCATTTCATTTTACTTTTAATGCGGGTATTTTATGTGGGTAGCAAAGTTTACAAAGTTAGGACACTATAAAATAATTTTTTGGTTTGAATATTAGCATTTTGTTTTAACATGTTCCCTGCGACAGACTGGCGACAACTGGAGGTAGGCACCAGCACCCTTTGCAACTCCGCTTGGGATAAGCGTGACGGAAAATGGATGGATGTTCACCAATTATACGTAGAAATATAACAATGTTGCAATGCAAAAAAATCTGAGAAGTGCCTATAAAAGGTCTGATGATGTTTGAAGAAGACGATATGTTTGCAGGTTTACCAAGTCCAACTGTCAATTGTTTTCTCCAAAAACAACAAGGCAGCACTGAATTTGCATTTAAATAAAACAGAAACAAATTTTGTCAGGCTGAAGTGAAATCTTCATGGATGTCTAATGTGTGAAAGAACTACGTTTTAAGCATGAGGTTCATTGACATTTGCACATAAACCGAGACTCCATCTGGTGTGCTCAATAATGCTGTGATTCAGGCCTGAAATCTGGCCTGCACTGATCACCAAACTTGGCTTCGTGCTTCCGGGAACAACAGCTGCATGAGTCAGATGTCTTGCATTAGATGAAGTTCACCTTCTAAGTCAGTTTCACTAAATGAACAGGCACACCTGCAGTTAGACTGTGCTGTTAAAGTGCAAAAAAAAAAAGCCTATGTCTGATAAATCTGATGCTTCACTAGAGGTGGAAAAATATAAGCTGCAGCAAAGGAACCATTAGAAAAATTGCATAAATATTGTATTTCTTCTTACTTTCAGGTTGTGTCCTTCCTTTCATGGATAGTTGCGTGAAGAAATCCAGAGGCATAGCTAAATGTTGATAAACATCGCCAGTCATCAGAAGGAAAGGATGACTAACCTACACGCCAGCTGACTTGGCTTGAGATCAAGGTGGGGTTGCAAACAACGCTTGAGTTCAGATATCACCGGCTTCTTAAAGAGGAAGCTGTGGCTTTACAAAGCAGCCAACTCTGCCTCTGCACACAGGAACACAGGCACAGAGACGCAGCTATTTTTTTTATACCATTACAAAAACAGCATCAGGGTTGTTTACTTTTGGAGTTCCACATGAAACTAAAATAAAGTGGTGTTTAATCCCACAGCATTGTCTTACAGACACAGAGGTGGTGTATAGAAGGAAACCAACTCTCAGCAGACAGTGGGAGAGATGAGCGTGCTGGAGCATGCCTTCTACTAATACTTCTCTGTTTACAGAGGCGTATATCAGGGCTGCAGCATAACCAGACAATCTGTGCAACCGATCCATCAGGGAGGACTCTCAATGCAGAATCAAGATTTCAAATAATATAGTTATAGGTAAAGTGTTTTCATTACCTGCTACATAGTTTTAACCAAAGCATAGGAGAAACTTCTGATTCCACTATGGGTCTGGAAATATTTTTATGTTACAGATTTATTTAAAGTTGAGTAACTTTAATGTTCTGTAAGAGTTGCTATTTAAAAGTCAGCAACTCATTCACAGATTGTAATAGTAAGATTAATCTATACATCTTAGATTACATCATTTGATTAAAACCATCTGGATTTTAACTGCATGTATAAAACCAATAAACATTTTTTTCTGGAGACATTTACTGTAAAATTAATAATTATTTCCAGTTTAAAAGCATAATTTTACACCGAAAGAAAATCAGTCATTTAATGATAGTGCATTTACGCACATGTTAACCATTAGTGCATTTATGGGCACCCCCACTGTTTTTGTTGTGTGTCATTTTACCAATACAACACCAGTTGTTCTTAAGCTCTACCATCTCTCAAAGTTGGAATGAACCTAAAGAGGGATCAGCCTCTCCAGATCATCCAGTCAAAATCCATCTGGCATGTTCTCTCATACTTTCGCTCTTAGACTATTATTCTGCTGGAAGACTGAAATACATCTTTCTGTTCTCTGTCAGAGTCCATCAGTTGGTTTTATTAAATAAAAAAAATCCTGCTATTTCAAACAGTTCATAATTTTATGCACAATAAAATGGTCGACAAGGCCTTTAAAAGAGAAGTTTATCTTTTACTTGTTTTCTTCTCCTCTCATCCTCCACACAGTGGTTGGTGACAACATAAAACAGGGCCCTCATCCAGCCTACAGGCCGGTAGCTAAACGAATTGCCCTCTGTTCCTTATATTATACTTATACCCAGGAAGACAGTAAAGGATTACTGAGTAAAGAATCCTGGATGCTAAACTTTAAAATAAAGTACTAATTATGAAAATGCTTTTCTTTTTAAAGGAGCCAATATTAGTGACACAAGTGATTTTGTTCAACACGATTATTTCCTAATGCTAACCAGATGTTTTTAAAGTTTCAAGTGTCATATAAACAAAAGTTTGAATTACTTTCTTTATCACAAACAAAAAGAGAGGCATTAAGGGAAGTCAGTCAATTGAATTCAGAATAGAATTTAAAATCCTCTTTTTCACAAAAAACCTAAATGGTCAAGCTCCATCTTATATCAGAGATACGATTGTTCCTTAAGGCTCTAACAGAGCACTTCACTCTCAATCTGCAGGTTTACTAGTGGTTCCTAGAATTTCTAAAAATAGAATGGGAGGCAGATGGTGCACCTCTCCATAATTTTATGTGACAGACAGGAGGCATCTGATTGGTCAAATCTGCATCCGCTCTACACTATGCGTATTTTCTGTTTGGTACCTTACAGGCTTGTTTTGTTTGTATGACCGCCATTGTGGAAAACGTCTCGTGAAGATGGACTAGCGAGGTGTGCGAGAACGCTGGGACCCTTTTTCCACCTGGTTCCCCGCTCTTTTTCGCCCTCATGTCCCTCCGTTGTCGCACAAACTTGCCCCTTGCGTTTTTTTCACTTCCTCACTGCCTCGACCATATCTAGACCTCAGCTAGTTCCTGACTGTCCCTCTTGCGTTGTTGCGCAGAATAACATAGTACAGACCACGGTTCAAAACTGGGCAGAAATCAAAAATACCTGCGTCATAGCTGCGGCAAGCTCACTGCGACACACTGCTGTGGTAGTGTAACTGGCCCTTTATCTTGAGCTGTCTCTATGGTTATGCTGCTATAGGCTAAGACTGCTGGAGGACATAGGAGCCTCTTTTTCATCATTCTGCTTCATTCTATCTATTCTCCCACTCTACAGTATTTGTTAGTTCAATCTCTAATGTTATGCTCTCTCTGATTTTTCTCATAGTAGCTTCGCCTCATCTGTTCCTGTTTGGCTGCAACACCATCCTGGAGAGAAATATCAGCTGTGCTGCTGCCATCAACACCTTTGTTTATAGATGTTTTTCAGTGTATTCCTGTTTCTCTGACTGTGACTGGCTTGATGTGCTTTCTTCATCCTCAGACATGGGAGCTGGCTCGGAGCTCGTCTGCCTGGCTGTGTGTTTCCTGGACAGGGCCGCCTTTTACTGTAGCCTTTTGTATCTCTGCTTCTTACTGGATGTCTGCTTCTGTCTGATTAAACCCCAGTCGGCCTCAGCAGATGGCCGCTCACTCTGAATCTGGTTCTGCTGGAGGTTTTTTCCTGTTAAAATAGAGTTTTTCCTCTCCACTGTCGCTACAAGCATGCTAAGTGAGAGGGATTGCCTTCGAGTCCATGAGTCGATGCAATCAACTAGTTTTCCCTAGATATAAATGTTTGAATCAATTCGACTGTATGATCTGGTGAACTGTAAAGAGCCTTGAGATAACATGTGTTGTGAATTGGCGCTATATAAATAAACTGAATTGAATTAGTCCTACTGTATAAGATCCCTTTTTTAAAATGTGATTAATTTTAAAACCAAACCCTACTCTAAAAGATTCCTCAAGGTAACAATTAATCAGTTCAATTAAGTTTGGATTAAAGAGATACAGAAGTCTTTTCAACCCCTTTCTGGAAACTGATTGGAAAAATCATACGCCTTCTTCATTCTAATGTGAAAAGATTGCTGATTGAACCCACATCCTTCCCTTCCTGAAAGATAACAGTGAAGGATGGAAACCTGCATTTTTATCTGGATGATTTAATTCGCTTAAAACTGTCCTGAACAGATTTCAAAGGCCTCAGGAAAACACACAAAAAAGGGTTTCACCCAGTCACCTGATGAGTGCTGTTAGAGCGTCACATACAGCTATTCTAGACTTGCCTGATTATACCACGGTAGGCGGATCCATCAACGTATCAAGTGACACACAGGGAGTTTTATCCACCGGAGGCTGATAGGCCCACTTTCAGGTCGCTTGAGTCGGCGCTCTGAACTGCAACAAGCATGTTTGTCTGCAGCTGCTGAGCCTCACAAACCAACCTTGGATAGAGAGGAGATAAATATGTGAGGAGCGGGATTCAGGCGGGTGTATGGGAGAGTAGGTTCAGTCTTGAAGCAGTCTGGCATGCAGTGAGCCGCTGGCAACAGGAAAAAAAACAGGCAGAGGGGAAAAGGACAGGAAGGTTTTCGTGTGCGGATGTTGCCAAAGGAGACTAGAAAGGATAGGTGGAAAATTATCTGGGAGGGGAGCGGTTGATATGGTGTGAGGGAAGGAGAGTGGGGGACTGGTTTTTCCACTGACACACAGAGAGAGAGGGTATGGTTAAATCAAATTAATTAGCTCCATCTCTAGGCAGCTACTCAGGCATGCTTTGCTGGCAGGGGTGACGGTTGGAAAGAGAGGAGGACTGTAGGCATGGGAGCAAAGGAGAAAGCCTCATAGGACACGGTGGAGGGCTGACAACCCTGCTGTGTTCTATGTGCACCATTCAGGACAGACAGGGAGCTCTGTGAGGGGAGGGGCGCGTCATTCTCTGATAAGCTTGAGGGCTTGTTTTGCTGGAGCTGCGTAGTCATAAGGAGGAGGAGGAGGAAGTGCCTGCGTGTTGGCTGGTGTACTTTGAGGTGATGCTACTTCCTGTTTCTAGACAGCCTGCAAGTCTGACGGCACTGTAAACAAGCCGCGCTCTTTAAATAGCACTCCAGTGACAGTGGCACACAAAGGGACTGATGGTTAGGATAGCTGTCACATCCAAAGTAAAATCACAAACTGGTGAAACTTAATGCATTATAAAATAAAACCACCAGACCAGAGTGAAGCACAAGAGATGGCATGCTAGGAAAAAAACAAAAACATGCAGTGGTGGTTCTAGATCAGATTTACCACAGGGGGGCCAGGATGTGCATTTGGGGAAAGAGCCACCAGAGACATTTCTGAGGTTTACCTGCAAAAATAAAAGACAAGATGAACCTGACGTTTACAGTTTTTCTGGATTGTTTACACACATTTCTGAAAACATGCCTCGTATTCTCAGAACTCTACACACAAATCCAACAAACACACACACAATGGGCAAAACCCTTCAATTCTCCTGCAAAATGAAACTTTACATTCAAAACAGTTTTATCTCTTCACAAAAGGCCATTTTGTGTTCAGATGACACACACAAACTATCATATGAACAGACAATTAAAAAAAGCATTTAAACACTGATGTGCTCAGTGTAAAACACCATTCTCCATTCATCATAATGACTTTTTGTTCAGTGTTACACTTACTACAGACATTAAATACATAAGTGCGTTGTAAAATATTTTAGAATATTGTTTTTATACTCAGAACACACAAATATACTGTAACAAACATGTTTTATTTTTCCCACAAAACAATGTACACAGTGTACATCCCAACTGACACAAAGTTGCACATACAGTGCAGAAGATTTTACTGTATACAGTTACAGTAATAATAAAAAAACAAAACAAAATAAACTATGCTGCATCCTCTCTTCTGTTTCGGTCTGGCCACAGCACCTCATCTACATCACAAGCAATGTTTTCCCTGGCCAAGCAGCGGGGGAAATATCGCCTAGCATGGCGAATCCAGCCATGAAAAGCATCAACTGCTATATCTCCACATGCGTCTTCCATAGCTTGGAAAAGGGGTATACGCGTTTCTGAATTTAGGTCGTACACTTTCCATCTCCAGGCAGAAAAAAATTCCTCAATAGGATTGAGGAATGGAGAATATGGAGGGAGATAAACAACTGAAAAGCGTGGGTGGTCAGTGAACCAGTTATGAACCAGAGCAGCCCGGTGGAAGCTTACGTTGTCCCAAATGACAACGTACCTGAGCTGCTCTGGGCCGTCTATCTGATCTGGTGGAATGAGTGTGTTGTGTAGGGTGTCCAGGAATGTGATCAGATGGGCAGTGTTGTAGGGGCCAAGGGTAGCATGGTGATGGATGATGCCATGGTCGGTCATCGCTGCACACATTGTGATGTTCCCTCCGCGCTGGCCAGGGACTTCAACAATGGCACGCTGGCCGATTATATTCCTTCCCCTCCTTCGTCTTTTTGTGAGGTTGAATCCAACCTCATCAATGAAGAAGAACTGGTGCTCCACTGCATCCACCTCCAGCTCAAGGACTCTCTGAAACACACATGACAATATCAGAAGTAGACATGGAGCGGTCTCTATTGTGAAGCACAATCATTATGATTACAATATAATAGAAAGAAATATGTATGATTTATACAATGTTGACAGTATGCATCAAAGGTGGGAATGTACTGTATAGGACGTACTTGCACATAGTTATATCGCAATTCTTTGACCCTTTCTGAATTGCGCTCAAATGGCACCCTGTAGACCTGCTTCATCCTCAGTTTATTTCTGTGCAAGACACGGTCCAGCGTTGATAAACTTACCCTATCAATATTTTGAAATATCTCATTGTTTTCTATTATTTTTCTTTGTATTTGCCGTAAGGTAATGGCATTATTTTCAAGAACCATGTTCATGATCTCTGTTTCCTGTTCAGGAGACAGAAGACGGCCCCGTCCACCTCTTGTTGGTAATCTTTCAGTTCTGCAATACAAAGAGTGCAATACTGTAAATACTGTGTAGGAATACATTTCCCAAATACTCGAAACACAATGTCCTACAGAACAGTCCACAGGTAATACTGTACTACTGTACTCATTGAGTACTGTATTGATATGCAGTACTGCAGTTTTGTAGTGAGAGTAGATTTCTTACCTATTCTCATTGCGGAAAGTCCGGATGATGGATGCTACAGTGTACCTGCTCAAATTTGGCTGTACTCTTTGCCCAGCCTCCCTCATTGTTAGGCCATGGTTGACCACATGGTCAACCAAAGTTGCTCGGATCTCATCAGAAATGATTGTCCTTGGCCTTCCTCGTCCTCGTCCTCCCCATCGTCCTCCTCTTACTCTCACTCCTCTGGCTCTGGCTCTGCCTCTGTTTACAACATTGGCCTCCATTGCTCCAAAACAGAAGAGCTCACCTGTTGCCCTTCTATGCTAAAGCTCTGATTGCTGAGTGGAAACATGTGTGTTAGGTGTTTGCCCATGTGAGGAGTCAGTGTGCATAGTAGGGAAATTAACTTTAGAGTTTTGAATAACAGTGTGTTCCTTGTGAAAACAAAAGATTTTCTTCATGACAATTGTGTGTAGAGTTTTGGAAAAAGTGTGTTTTAGAACTGCAATTTGAGTGTAAAGCAGGAATTGTGCTTGTAGTTTAGCAGAATTGGTTCAGGGGGTTGGTGCATGAGTTACATTTTGTGGTCATTGTGTTTCAAGTACCAATATTTGTGTGTAAACAATCGAGAAAAACTGTAATACAGAAGAGGATTACGGCCGCTGGACAAAAAAAATCAAAAATGACTTTACAGTAATCTTAGAATTCTGACTAATTCTTATTTTATTATCATAGAATTATAGCTAGTTATAATTATAGCTAGTTATAATTGTGTTTTAAGTGTTAATTTATCACGGGCTTCAGCAATAGAGTCCTGAGTAAATTAACTTTTAATAATGAGATTAAAGTCAGAATTCTGAGATGAAAGTGAGAATTCTGAGATTAAAATCAGAATTCTGAGATTAAAGTCAGAATTCTGAGATTAAAATCAGAATTCTGAGATTAAAGTCAGAATTCTGAGATTAAAATCAGAATTCTGAGATTAAAGTCAGAATTCTGAGATTAAAATCAGAATTCTGAGATTAAAGTCAGAATTCTGAGATTAAAATCAGAATTCTGAGATTAAAGTGAGAATTCTGAGAGTAAAGCCAGAATTCCGAGATGAAAATCTGAATTCTGAAAGTAATACCAGAAGTCTGAGATTAAAATCAGAATTCTGAGATTAAAGTAAGAATTATGAGATTAAAGCCAGAATTATGAGATGAAATTCAGAATTCTGAGATTAAAGTGAGAATTCTGAGATCAAAATCAGAATTCTGAGAGTGAAGACAGAATTTTGAGATTAAAGTGAGAATTCTGAAATTAAAATTAGAATTCTGAGAGTGAAACCAGAATTCTGAGATGAAATTCAGAATTCTCAGATTAAAGTGAGAATTCTGAGATTAAAGTCAGAAGTCTGAGAGTAAAGCCAGAATTCTGACATTAAAGTAAGAATTAATTCAGAATTAATGCATAATTCAGTAGCCTATTTTCGAGTGGCTGTTTTTTTTTTCTTTCGTTTTTTCAATGGCCCTAATGCTCTTCCACAGATTAAAGCAGATAGAGAATAAGAGCAAATACAAAGATGGGTTGGGATTTGAAAGCGGTGAGGAATTCCTGGAAAGGAGAAAAGAAATTGCACAACTATGCAGAGAAAGCTAGATAAAGCAAGTAGATTCACAAAGACAGGCATGAAAGACAGAAACATCCGTAGAGAATGAATGGGAAAAGAATGATAGAGTAGGAGCAGGACAGAGGATGCCAGAGGTCAAAACGAGAACAGTAGAGAGCTCAGTGCATCAGAGTTGCCCAGACAAATGTTGGCTGCACTGTAAGAACCCAAGATTAGCACTAATCTGATTGCAGGGTGAGGTGGGATCAGAAGAAATTAATCTAGCACCCAAATAGTTCCCGGAAATGACAGAAAGGACTCTAAAGAGATATAAATCTTTCTCTTTAATTCATAGTGTATCCTCTGCCATATCACAAGCCTGTTCAGCTTCCCTTCTACCATCTACTGATTTCTGCAAATGAGCCAACAGAAAGAGGGGAGGGGGGGTTAAAAAGAAAAGCCTGAGAACAAGGAGGGCTTCAAAAGAGCTGTGACGATCTCGGCACTGGTGCTGGCTTAATCTCCAACTCCTCACACCTGCTCACTCCACCCTGCCTGCAATTATCTCTAATTGGTCCCACTTCTATATATAGCTCATTTGGATCTGTTCCCAGTGCCAGATCGTCTCAAACCATCTTTTGAGTACCTTCCAGCTCTTCTACTGTTTGCCTGCCTACCTGTTACCTGACCTGTTTTTGCCCTTTTTCTCTCCGAGCCTGCCAAACCCCTTATCTGATTCTGACTGCCTGCTCTGAACCCAAACCAGTAAACGGACCCTCGAACGGACCTGGACCTCTCTTTTGGATTGCCCCTCTGTACCTTCGCTTGGACCCCGTCTCTGAATCCACAAACGAACTGCCTCTGGAGCTCATCGGCCTAAGCCCTCAGCTGACCATCCGCCGCTCAACGGCCACCGTTTCCACAAGCCCCTTCATCGATCGGACTCCTGCCCCGGACTCTAAGCGGTGCTAATCGCCCACCCTGCGACCCAGTAACAGGTTAGTGATCCAGCCTCAGTTCCTCTCTAGCTCTCTGATTGCTGATCACTGACCTGTTGTCTCCGCCACAGGGGGTTTCCTGACCGAGAGCCGCCTGTACGCTCCCCTCGCCTTCCATTATAAATAAAAACTGTTGCATTCTGCTTACCGTTCTGAGTTGTTTCCTGGGTCCAAAATCCTGTACGTTACAGTACGATCTGGCCAAACATGGACCCATCACCAGACGGTCAGTGGCGGGCCGGCGTGGAAAAATCCATTTCAGACTTAGAATCCGGCGTGAACGAAATTTTACTCCATCTTCGTAACCAGGCTCCCCCAGCCCCACCACTTCCGCAAACAGTTCCTGATTCCGCGTCACGTGCTGTGACGTCATTTCCTGAACCGCGTCTGACTCCGCCAGAGCTCTTTAGGGGCGATCCCGAGCATTGTCGGGCTTTTCTCACCCAATGTGAGATTCATTTTGAACTGCAACCCTCCTCCTACCCCACTGAGCGTTCAAGAGTTGCTTATGTTATTTCCCTTCTCACTGGTAAAGCGAGACTGTGGGGAACCTCTGAGTGGCAGAACGACTCCCCATTATGCCACTCGTATTATGAGTTCTCCAGGGAGTTAATTAGAGTGTTCAGCCCAATATTGCCCAGCAGGGAGTCCACTAGGGGGCTTTTGTCTCTGAGACAAGGAGACAGGCCAGTTTCTGAATACATCATTAACTTTCACCTTTTAGCGGCCGAAAGCCCGTGGAACGAGCCCGCCCTCATGGATGTCTTTATCACTGGGTTGAACGATAGAATTAAAGATGAGCTCGCTACCAGAGATTACCCTAGAACCCTGAAGCAACTAGAGGACTTAGCTACCCGCATCGATCTCCGTCTTATGGAACGGCGGAGGGAACGCCGCTCAACTTTTTCCCGACCATCTTCGTCCTCCCCTAATCAGGCAGCGCTGCCGCCCCCTCAGGTTCTGGCAGACCCTGAGCCTATGCAGTTAGGGAGAACTAGACTCACTATTGAAGAGCGGCGCCGCAGGTTCCAACACAACCTCTGTCTCTACTGTGGAGGAGAGGGACACCGAGCCAACACCTGTCCGTTAAAAGGGCAGACTCAGTAGGGGGGGGGAGATCCCTACTGAGTCATACCAGGGTCTACGTCTCCTCCGATTTTCTGCTACCTGCTACTATTTCTGTCTCTGCCAGAACTCATGACCTGTCTGTCTTTATTGATTCTGGGGCCGATACCGAGTTTATGGATGAAGGACTGGCCAAGAGACTTAACATCCAGCTTCTTCCAGACCGGTCTCCTCACAGCATCCTAGCACTGGACGGCCATAAGTTGCATCACTCTCATCTGGTCTCCTAACCTGTCGGGCTTCTGATTGGAGGTAATCACAGCGAAGTCATCACATTTATGATCATTAACTCTCCTCAGGTCCCCATTGTCTTGGGCAGCACCTGGCTCAAGAAACACAACCCTCTTATAGACTGGCGGAGGGGGGAGGTTACTGGCTGGGCTTCTTCCTGTTCTGCCTCCTGTTTGAGGTCGGCCCAACCTCTCCAGTCACCCGTGAGTAAGCCTGAGGAGGCCTACCCTGACCTTTCCCGGGTTCCCTCTGAGTATCACGACCTTAAGGAGGTGTTTAATAAAGCCAAAGCCACTAGTTTGCCTCCTCACCGCCCTTATGACTGTTGCATCGACCTGCTCCCCGGAACCACTCCCCCTAGGGGCCGCCTTTTTTCTCTTTCTCCCCCTGAGTCTGAGGCCATGCAGAAGTATATTGAGGATGCTCTGAGGGCAGGTATTATCCGCCCCTCCTCCTCGCCTGCTGGCGCGGGGTTTTTTTTTGTGGGGAAGAAGGATGGTTCACTCCGTCCCTGCATTGACTACAGGGGGCTGAATGACATCTCGGTTAAGAACCGATACCCCATTCCTCTGATGAACACGGCATTCGATCAGGTCAGGGGGGCTAAATTGTTCACTAAGTTGGATCTTAGAAACGCCTATCACCTGGTCCGGATAAGGGAGGGGGATGAGTGGAAGACAGCTTTTAACACTCCCACGGGTCATTATGAGTACCTGGTAATGCCCTTTGGTCTCACAAATGCACCCGCTGTCTTCCAGAACCTTGTGAATGAAGTCCTCAGGGATATGATTGGGAGGTTCGTCTTTGTTTACCTTGACGACATCCTGATCTACTCAACAGACCCCATTTCCCATAGACAACACGTTCGCTCTGTTCTGCTTCGACTTTTACAGAATCAGTTATATGTCAAAGCGGAGAAGTGTGAGTTTCATGTGACTACCACTGCCTTTTTGGGTTTTGTCCTGTCCCCTGGCCGGATGGCCATGGATCCTGCCAAGGTCCGGTCAGTCACAGAATGGCCCACACCAACCGACCGCAAGCAGCTTCAGCGGTTTCTTGGCTTCGCCAACTTTTACAGAAGGTTTATTCGGAATTATAGCCGAGTCGCTGCCCCTCTCCATGCCCTGACCTCAGTTAAAGCGAGGTTCAACTGGAATGAAAAGGCAGACCAGGCTTTTCACAAACTAAAGCTCCTGTTTACCTCTGCCCCGGTTTTGGTATCCCCTGACCCGGAAAGGCAGTTCATTGTTGAGGTTGATGCCTCCAGTGTGGGTGTTGGGGCAGTCCTCAGCCAGAGGACAGAAGAAGGCAGAGTTCACCCATGTGCCTTCTTTTCCAGGAAGCTGTCTCCAGC